TAATGTGATTACCAAGCTACTCTCCAATATAATCAAAAAGTTGTGGCTGTCAGTTGAAGTCCCCAGTGGCTGGAAAAAGGGAAGTACTATTCTTGTACTTCCTTGTTTGTACTATTCTTGTTTGTAAGAGAGGAATGCGGGAAGCCCGGGGGAACTATAGGCAGGTCAGTCTCACATCTGTGCCTAGGCCATGGTCATGGAGCAGATCCTCCTGGAAACTGGGCATGTCTGAGATGGAGAGGTGACCTAGATAGCCAGCACAGCTGCTCCAAGGGCAATTTGTGTCTAACCAATCTGGTAGGTCTCTGAGTTGGAGTGACGGCATTGGTAGACAAAGGAAAGGCAACTGCTGTCATCTACCTGGACTTTGGCATGGTCCCACATCATATGCTTATCTTACAGTTGGAGAGATGTGGATTTGAAGAGTGTACTATTTCATGCATAAAAAATTGGATTGTCACATCCAGAGTATTGTTGTTAATGGGTCTAGGACCAGTGGAGACCAGTGTTGAGTTGGTGTACCCTAGATATCTGTCTTGTGACCAGTACACTTCAACATCTTTTCTAAAGACATATATAGTGAGATTGAAAGCATCCTCAGTAAGTTTGCTGATGGCAGTAAGCTGAGTGGTGCAGTTGACAAAACAGAAGGGAGGGATGCTATCCTAAAGGACCTGGTGAAACTTGAGAAGTGAGCTATGTGAACCTAATGAGGCTGAACAAGGCAAAATCTACCATTTAATCTCCTTCTTTGGTGATTGAGATTTGAAATGAAGGCTGTCTTGATCCAAGTCACTGTAGATATTTGTAGTTGAATAGCTGTTTAGGGAGAGGACAGTTTCTTACACTGGAATGTATCTATTTTGTGTAACTGACTGTGATGAGGGCAGATGTATTGAGTCTGAGTGTTCCACAAAGGTATAAAATGCTTTATTTGTAAATAAATACAAAGCGGAGCAATCCAGCAGACAAATAGATGCAGGTCAGTGCTGTCAAGATTTGCAACTTCACTAACCAGTTACTCTGTAAAGCACTGGATGCTTGTTTAATGGTGTCTGTGGCCCTGATTATGCACCCATCCAAATATTTTTGGTTTTGCATATTTTGCACAGGTTTAGTAACAGTAATGTTAGTTAAAACATTAACTAATCTGTTTTATATAAATCTGTTTTATGATAATAAATTTCAGAGCAGTGTAGGGCAGTTTTGTTTGCCAACTGCTGTCAGTTACAGTTAATACTGTGTTCTGTTTCCATGAATTTTCTACTTGTAACCTGTTCAGTGTCTTCATCCTGCTTTAATTTTGACCACTGATTTTTGATAGTAATTCTGGGCTAGTGTTGTTGAAGTTGGCTAATAATGCAGTCAGCTGAACAGTCCACTTGGAGTTGTAGGTCTCATAACTGGAAAAGGTCTCATAACTGGAAAAGCACGCAGCCACATTCTGAGATGTATAATGCTAAGAATGTTTAGATTTATTAAAATAATACTGTACCCAACTCTGCACGCTGAGATCTGGAGAGGAAATCTTTAACCTAGTTCTTTAGCTGTCTTTAGTTTTACCAATAGCAGCGAGAGGAAGCTAAATAAGGTTCTGCATTAAGCCTGACACTTAGATAAAAGTAAGTTATTTTTGAAATGCTTATTGTATGGAGTTCTCACTTTCACACGTGTCATCTTTGCTTCAATGGGCTGTGTTTTTAATTTTATATTTTTATTTTGTGTGTGACCCAGATTATCAAAGCAGTTTTCAAAATGACCTTGTATGAAATGAAACTTACCTGAGCATGTATAACTTGTAGTAAACAGACTGTTGGTTTATGTTAGTTGAAAATAGGCAGGAATCTAGTCCGTTGGTGTTTAAATACCCTTTTATTAATTAAATACTGAAATAACATCTCTAGCATGCCTGATAAATAATGTTAGAGGAAGAACTGTTACATAATGCTCTGAGGAGTTTTTTCATGTTAACAAGGTAGTTGGTTACAGTTGAACAGAGGAAGTGGTTAGTCTCCAGTGTACAATGTAGAGCTAATTTTGTTAAACCAGTAGTGATTATGGCATTAATGGCGTAATTCACTTCTGCAGAAGGGGAAAGACATGGAGGCATATAAAAGAGCAATGCAGAGGGAACCAGAAGATAGGTATGCAGTCTTGTAGATGCATGATGCATCAGAATAGTTAAACTAGCAGTGTCAGGGATGTTTCTGGAAGAGTAGGAGGTAAAAAGTGAGCAAAAGCAGGAATAGCAACAAAATGCATGAAAATGCGTGTTAAATCTATTTTCAGTATAGTTTCCGGAAGACTAACAACTGAAAAAAATAAAATAAAATACTAGTGTGACTTCTAAATGGAGGTATCCTGAAGCATTTTATAAGGAATACAAAAATTAAGTAGAAACTCTGGCAATAGATGATAAACAGCTTAATATATAGGTCACTCTGAAAGTAAAGCCTTCTGTTTATTTCTATAGAAACAACAACAGATACAAAGAGCACAATAACACTGTTTGATAGAGAAAAATCTTAGCTACAAAACACTTATTTTTCAACGCTGTCACCATTTGGCATTTTGGCCAGCAATGAACAAGAGTCTGCGTGCTGCACTTGTAAATATCTGCACTAGTGGAGGTGACACACTGTTGATGTCACCACTGCTGACACGCACCACCCGTGTCTCACTGTGCTCATATCCACTGTTTTTTCTCCATAAATGTTCAGCAAGTGCCTATGAATGTCAGGGGTGACATTTTTTTCTGCGTGGAGGAATTAATTTACGCACTTCTGTTTCATCTGCACTTCCGTGTTAGACGCTGTTTTGTCAGACTGCCCCTCTGTTGCCATCTGTCAGACTGCAACAATATGTGATGGGATACTGTCAGGAAGGTTCAAGCTTTTCTACCATAAAAAACAACATCTGCCTCTGACATCGTGGGCCCACATGACAAAATAGGAAGCATTACTTTTGGAGCAGCCCTTATATAGCTAATCAACTTGATTTTATGTTTTAGTTTGTAGTACCAACGAGATCTCTTCAGGATATAGTAAGGGAAATGACTTAAGAGTTAGTGTACTTATGGTTGAGACCATGATAATGATTTACTGTTATCTGGATTGTCTTTTAGGTGGAATAGCTTTTAATTTAATCAGCTACTGAAGATGACAGAGAGCTCTATTACTTACACATAAGATATATGTGAGGGCTGCACTGAAAGTAATGCTTCCTGTTTATAATGTTGGCTGATTACATCATAAGTAGATGAAAATTTTATCTGAATGGCAGTGAAAGATTTCCTAATGTCAAGTAAAATGAAAGCAAGGAGGTAAATTCACTGTTGGGATTGCAGTGCGATATGTATTCCTAAAACCGAGCTGAAATGTTGTAACACAATTAATATATTATAATAAAGTGACTGACTACTACATTTTTAAAAACTGTTTTGATTTTTAAAAGATTGTTAGTATAAACAATGTAGTCTTATGTTTGCTTTAGTCATAAAATGGCTTATTGTAAGTTCCCAATGCTTGTATCCTTAGTTTCCTGCTTGTGCTTTTGTAATATTGGATTAGACCATTACTGAGACATACATAAAACTAACATTTGTGAGGAGAAGATTGAGAATAGGGACAGTTTTTCTCAAATATTGTATTTTAAAAAATATTAATGCAGTTCTCTAAAAATAAGAGTGTAGTTTCATTGCAACTATGAAAACTGAAATTCTTCAGTACTGAAACTGTTTTTATAATACTAAGGGAACTAATTAATTGTTGGAATAACAGGAAAAGGTTCATAAATTATCTCTAAGAATACACAGCTGTGCATGGAAGGCCATGAATTCTACCCCTCATTCTCTTCAGAATTTTGGAAGGGAGGAGTAATTTACTTGTCCTTGGACTAACAGATTCTTTTTAATGATTTATATCAATTAAGTAAATACAAAATTCTGATAACTGAACATTATTAAATTGTTCTTTGTTGGAAAGTCTATTAAAATGTTGATAAATGAAGATTTGTTTTTATTGTTCAGCACCTGGGCCATGCAGTTCATTTCATGACTTGTGAATAATTACAGATTAAGTATGCCTATTTGTTTTGTATCGTACTGTTAGCTGCAGCACTACAGAGGACTATTTCTCAAGCAGTTCTTGATCTACATTAATGTAAGAGTGATGGATGTGTAAATACAGCTATTTCAGGAAATGGTTATCGAAGCTATGAAAGTGTAGTAATTTATGTAAGGGCCTTACGTGGCTTCAGCACAATGAAAAGATCTACTGGGTCTTGGTGTCCCAAAGGCACTCTTGTGCCTTTGTCAAGGCAGCCCATTACAGTGGGTTGCTGTTGAGCTGCAGTTAACTTAAGTGAGAGTGTGCTCTTTTTCCTTCATCTTTGCAAAGTTGTTGTAACCTTGTAGGAAAGCTTTTTTTCGTATAATAGAAGCTGTATCTCCTTTGCATTTAGTAAAACAGAAGATAAACCCAAACTTGCATATATTTCATGTTTTCTTATATATTCTTAATATAAATTGTACTGACATGACTATTTCATTAGGTAATTCTACAGCTAATTAATGATCTGAGTATAACACAGCATAATCATTCTATTTCACTGTATCAAATCATGGCAAATCTGACTGGGTCTTGAGGACTTAAAAATCAGTAAGTTTAAAAAAAACATAACTGTGTATATGATTTGAAAGGCTCTGACAAGTGACAAAACAACCACAAGGGATTTAAGAAGCCATAGGATCCTAATTTGAAATTTCTTTAAGTTATGTAAACATTATACTGCAGGTATACTGGTGAGAAGGTCATGAGATTCCTTGTTACCAGCTCCCCCTTCCCACAGCTCCCTTTTTTTCTCCGGAGTTCTCTTGTTCAGATGTGTTGTTGGATAAATTGATTTCCCCAAGTAATGAAGTCTTCCTTGCATAGATGCCTTTGTTAAGTTTGATAGCATGGGGATGAATACCTACTTATAAAACTATTTGTTTATTTAAGGTTGCTAATCTTGCTTGTTCGTTGTCAACAAATGAAGATGGAATGAAAATTGTCCAAATGGCAGCTAATCACATAGAGACTTTGTGCCCACAGGTATGACTTTTTCAATTAATTCCCATTACGATGCACTGAGCATGCACAGTGTTTTGTTACACAACATAGATGTTTAGTTATGCTACTTCAGTCTAACATTCACATTCAATTCTCATGGCAGTTAGTGTAGTTAAATGAAGATTGAATAACAAATGAAGGGCATGTACTTAGTTAATCCTTTTGCTATTTCTTAGTGGTTAACACAGAAATTGTGTATAGCCTATTGATTGTGAGTCTTAAGGAATTGTAGGGATCACAATTTAAGAATCATGCTGTTTTGTTTCAGAAGTTAAACCTAACTGAATGAATAGCCTACCATGATGGGCAAATCAGGAGTGTCTTTACTTTTACAAAGCACAGTACTTATTTTCACAGAACTTGAAATGCTATTACTTGCTTTATTTTGTGTGTATGTGAATGTTCCAGTATTAATTCTGATTATCACCAACCAAAAGCTTGAACTTTTGTCTGAAGCAGATGAATAAGAATTAGCACAGCTGCAGATACTTTATTGGTACTTTACTTACAGAAAGTGTATTCATTCTGTGTTTCTCATGTTCAGAATTACAGACATGTAACACTTCCGCAGTTGCGTAATTCTGTTAAGAGCAGAGTTGATTTGTGTGAATCTGACACGAGTTATTTCAGCCTTGAGGCAACATAATTTCAAGATCATTAGTTCTTTGAAGAATACTACAGTTCACACGGTGACCAAAATATTCTTATCCTTTTCTGTGCTTAATGCTAAATATAGTTGAAATAGAAGGTGAAGAACAAGTATTAACAGTACGTTCGATTACAAGCTTGAGGAGTCCATTTTATACCCACTGAGTAAAAGACAAGGCACGAGAAAAAAGGAATTTATGTATGTAAGTGTGGTACTTTGAAAGTGTTCTGTCTTATCATCGAATCATAGAAAGGTTTTGGTTTGAAGGGACCTTAAGGACCGTCCAGTTCCAACCACCCATGCTATGGGCAGGGATACCTTCCACTAGATGAGGTTGCCTGAAGTCCCATTGGCACTGAGCACTCCCAGAGATGGGGCTTCCACAACTTCTCTTAGCAACCTTTTCTAGTGCCTCACTGCTCTCATTGTACAGAATTGCTTAGTTAAATCTAACCTAAATTTACCTTCTTTAAGGTAATTACCCCTTATCCTATCACTACACTCCCTGAAAGGAGTCATTGTTTAAATGTCTATTTTTTGTAACTTTGTAGCATTTCAGTGTTTTTATATGTATCACTGTATAAAATGGCTTATTTCCTTTATTACATTACTGTTTTTGTAGGATTATTAGCCTGTAAGAAGAATTTGTTAACAGCTTCTTTCAGCGGCTTTACTTCTCCAAGGGTACAAGGGAACCTTTACAATATGTTATTATGCATCCAGTTGTAGTGTTTTTTTTTTGTTTTTTTTTTTTTAAACTTAAAATTATCAGTATCACACGTGGTAGCAGAAACTATAAGAGCTAATTTTGACTAGAGGATTACTTTTTTCTTGTGGCCATTTAAATTGCTAGGATTTAATTTTCTGTAGTAAAATGTAAAGTTATTGTTTTTGTTTTGCTTCGTTTTCCCACTGGCGTGGTGTATATTGTCTTTGTTTCTGTTTTTGTTGTTGTTCTTTTTTTTTAACCTTTTAAAAACCTTTTAAATTCATTTCAGTGACGAATTAGTTGATGATTATAAGTTGATCTAAATGGAGAATGCTGTATGCATGTGAAAAGATTGTATTACTATTAATGGCGTGTTCATTGTGGAACATTTGCTGCTTTCTCAGATAAGGATCATTCCCTGTGAATGCAATTGGTATTTTAGCAAAGTAAGAACAGCAGAGTAAGGCTTCTGCATTTTCACAGTAAATCATATTATGCTATATCATTAAAAAATTCTCCATAGAAAAAACAATTATTTCTGAAGACCCCCGCAGAGCATATCAATTAGAGTTTGAAATAGGAGAAATTTGCATGCAGAAATCCCCAGTATTCTTAAATCTATAGAGTAAAAAAAACCAACAAAACTATCAGTGCTCAGAAAAAATATGTTGCCAGAAGGGAGCCAAGTTGTTTGGATTAAAGTCAAGAAACATTGAATGAAAACCAAAACAAACCCTCCTCCCTCAAACAAACATGCCCCCTCCACCACCCCCAAAAAAGAAAATACATTCAACCCCCCTCCCCCCCCACCAAATTACACCTGCAGAAGACATCATGGTATCTTTAGATTTGAGCATCAAAATTTCCCATGACGCCATAGCACTGGTGTAAAGGTAGACAGAAAATTGGCAAACACTGGAAGAAAGCCTTGTAATTGTTAGAATTCATAGAAGTGCATATGTTCTCTTAATAATACTGTACTGTATTTAAAAGTAGAGAGATGATTCTAAACTCAAGTTTTTTAAAATGAGATTATTAGTAAATATTTTTTAATTTAATAAATTAAATAAGCTAAGAAAAGTGTTTAATAAATTGATAAGCTAAGAAAATACATTTACATTTACCTCGTATTCAGTCTGATCAGCTTTCATGTGGGTCAACAAGTATGTCCAGCAAGCTAGACTAACAAAAGGAGGAGCTAGGGTAAGAAGGCTGTGGAAAAGAAATGTCTATTGATGATTTAGCCTGTTATTTGTCTAGGCTTCTGCGTAATTATTGGGAATCTTTTTTCTTATTTCTTTAAGATAGTCTTCTGGCATTGTTCGCTTTTCCCAGTATTTTCCCAGTTTTTAAAGAACAGCTACCAGGAGAAAAACGGAGCAAGCAAGCTAGATCAATTTCCTTTTCAGTTCCTTCTGTTCTGTAATGCTGAGCAGCCTTATGAAGAGCAGTCAGGTGGTGTTGGTTGACAGCAGGCTCAACATGAGTCAGCTGCAGGCACTGACAGCCCAGAGGGCAAACTGCATTTTGAGGTACCTTAACTACAGCATAGCCAGCTGGTCAAAAGAGATGATTCTTCCGCAGTAGTTAGCACTGATGTGGCCTCACCTTGAAAAGTGCAAGCTCTGGATCTTAAAGGAGTTTAGGGCCTCCAGAAGGTGGCAAAAAGGAAAGGTGGTAAAAGAGCTGTCATATGAGGAAATGCTGAGAACATTTGGGTTGTTCATTCTGGAGAAGAGGCTGAGAGGTGATATCCTTGCTCTTTACAACTTCCTGAGGAGGAGAAGCAAAGATGAGGTGGCAGTCTCTCTTCCCTGGGAACTGATGACAGGACGTTTGGGAATGGCACAAGGTTGCACCAGAGGAGAATCAGACTGGACATTAAGAAAAAAATCATTTACTGTGATGATGGTTTAACTCTGGAACAGGCTTCCTAGAGAGGTGGCTGATGCCCCGTGCTTGCTAGTGTTCAAGAGTCATTTGGATAATGCCCTTAATAACATGCTTTAAGTTTTGTTTAGCTCTAAAGTGGTCAGGTAGCTGGACTGGATGATCTCTGAATCATAGAACATCCAAGTTGGAAGGGACCCTTTAGAATCATCAAATCCAACTCTTGACTCAACACAGGATCACCCAAAAATCAGACCATATGTTTGAGAGCATTGTCCAGATGCTTCTTGAACTCTGGCAAGCTTAATGCTGTGACAGTTTCCCTTGCCCAGCCACCCTCAGGTGAAGGATCTTTTCCAGATACCCAGCCTCTGTTGCAACTCCATGCCGTTCCCTTGGGTTCTATCTCTGATCACCTGAGAGAGGAGACCAGTGCCTGCCCTTTCACTCCTTCTCATAAGGAAGCCATAGGCCACAATGAGGTCTCTCCTCAGTGTCCTCTACTGTGGGCTGGACAAACCAAGGGACTTCAGTTACTCCTCATACGTCTTCCCCTCTAGACTGTTCAACATCTTTGTAGCCCTCCTTTGGGCACTTTCTATTAGTATTATGTCTTTTTTGTATGGTGGTGCCCAAAACTGCACCTGTACTCAAGGTGAGACTATACCAGTGTACAACAAGACAGTCACTTCCTCAGCTGGCTAGCAGTGCTGTGTTTGCACTCCATGGGACAGCTGGTCTTCCTGGCTGCTGGGGCACACTATTGACTTGCTGTTCAACTTACTGTCAACCAAGACCCCCAGATCTCTTTCAGCAGAGCTGCTCTTTTGTGTTTCATCCCCTAGTTTGTCTATAGAGCCAGAGTTGCCCCTTCCCAGGTGCAGAATTTGGTACTTGTTCTTGTTAAGTGATCTGCGCAGCTCTCTGATTTGAAAGTCTCCCAGTTGAAGTATTCTATTCTGTTACTCAAAATAATGAGTTGATCTGTGGAACATATTTATCTGCCTCAGGTTTCTAAGCCATTCATATACAGATCTGACATTATCATCTTCAACATTGTACATTTGTTTATCCAAGTCTGATATATCTGTTTTTCAGTGTTAGCTGGACTATCTGGAATTCATTTGCAGTATTCAGGGATTACGGAACTGCTTCTTTATTAACCTATGTACACACAGTGAGGAGAATGTAAAAACAAACAAACAATAAATAAATATTAAAAAATCCCACCAAAACAAACAAACAAACAAAAAAAACAACTACCAAGGTTCTTAGGAGAAACCAGATCTTGCAGACCTTTCCTCTTTGAATTTTAGTAATTTCAGCACAGCTCTGGTGCTTTCTTTTCTGTCTCTGAAATGGGTAGCCATAAAACTTTTACATGTTTCTGGGGTCATTTGAAATTTTGTTTATTCCTTTCAGAAACATAGTGGCATCAGGAGTTTACTAGAGTGCTTTTTGAGTCTGTGGCTGCTGCTCTAGATACCTTCTACAGACATTTGTGTTGTCATCTTCACTGATTACACTATGGTTCTGTACAAAGTAGCATGAAAGCTTTGAGCAGCCTCTCAGTTGCAGCAGTGTGCCTTGTGGACAAATATTCAATTAAAACTCTAAAGTCCAAGAAGGACCTACCTGGTCTCTGTATGCTTTCTTAAAATCATGATCATAACTTTTTTTTGTTATATTTTGCTTAAGCTCTTAATGTGAATTCCCCTATAAATATTTTCTTAA